GGTCAGCTACAATGTATTAAAAGAAAGGAATACGGTTATTTATTAATCTGAAGGCCGGAAATTTATTTCCAAGGGTTTTTTTTCCCGGAATAACCTCCTACCTAGCACTATAACTTTCCTTTATTTCTATATCGTGTTTATCATAGTGCCATGCGGTCCTCATATTCATATCTTTATATTATTCTAGACCTATTACCGCAAGCTGACATCTATTTCATCCCGACCTGCTCCCAGTCTAACCTTGTAACTCACCTGATAGAGCTTTGGTAGTACAAATCCGAGGGTCGTGGGTTCGAATCCCGAATATTTTCCAAAGGGTCTTTCTCCCGGAATAGCCTCCTTCTAAGCACTATAACTTTCCTTTATTTCTATAAGAACATTATTTACATTGTGCAGTATCAATCCCAAGAAATTGTAATATTGCACGTAAAACGGTTGAATGATAGCCATCATAWCTCTAGTCTCCTCTCGCAGCCGTTAGGACGTTCGTTCCCAGGTCACTCCCCCAGTGACCTGGGAACGAACGTCCTAACGGCTGCGAGAGGAGACTATCATATCTCACAATAAATTATTTTTTCCGAATCTTTTACTTAATTGAGGCTCTTCATTTTGTGGCAGAAATATTAGTAATGACTTTATTTGATTTTTTTTTACAGATTTATGGTACTGAAACATCAGTCTGGACAGCACAAATGAGGGAGATTCAACAAGAGCAAGAAGAAGCTACTCAAGATGAATGATGTTTTCTTATTTTGAACGATATTTTTATTGTTGCTGTTGTTGTGCTTCGCGTTGATTGTACATGTAAATGTATAGGATAGTTCTGTTACTTATACTGCATGTTACGTTTTTCCTCATGTACAGTGTAATCATTTACGTTCTTAGCGTGACTGGTGCGTTTCTGGGTGCTGGATCACTTGTGGAATCCTAAAGGCTTGTTCACACTGCAATTTTTATGGCGGTTTTCAAAAAAATAGTATATTTTGTCTTATCATTGTGAAGAGACATTTAGTGGGCTCATCTCAGTGTACTGCATAAAACTTAACAAATTATTCATTAACAATATTCTCTAGAATCAATCAATCATGTCCGCAAGATTCACAATGAAGTTGTCTTTCTAAGTTTGCAGTACTCGGATGCTTAGACTAGAGCTAAGTCATTAGTCTCCTCTCTCAGCCGTTAGGACGTTCGCTCCCAGGGCAGTGACCTGGGAACGAACGTCCTAACGGCTGAGAGAGGAGACTACTAAGTCATTAAACCCGTGAAACAAATTTTAACTATTTTCATAGAAAACACAGTGTGAGAGTCAAATAGACCCCCCCTCCCCCCCTCAAAAAAAAAACAAAAACAAAACAAAACAAAAAAACAACAACAACAATGCAATTAGAGCGTACTAAGGTGTATTAGTGTATAACCTACTGTATTTCATAGGTTTTTTGACGTCACTCGAAACGCAGTCGTACCGTAAAATATAATCAAAGTAAATGATTATTATTATCTATGTGCAATCATGCATGTAATTTCACTACATGTGCTTTCGATATGTATTAAACCAGTGACTGTGTGAACCGACTCTAGTGTCAACTTTTATACTTAAACTAGACGCTCTGGGAGCGTGAAGTCGGACTAGCTGCTTGTGAAAATTGAGAAAGACAGGATATTACATGGATAAAAATATTTCTTAACTTTTTTTTTCCAAAACAGCCGAACTCACGGTCTAATAAGAGCGTCTAGTTCAAAATATGCAAAATTTACGTGCCTTGCTTTGACTGATAAAATCAACTACGCTAGACAAATGTCTCGCTAAGTGATAACGTTGACCTCTCAGGCAAAGAAAATAAAAACTTTACAAGAAAAAAGATGCCTATAAAATCATTAAATTCGCCTTTCTGTTATTGATAAACAAAGTTTCTTCTTGTTCTAATTTGAAATCTTTGCCCCCACAAGACTGTCTAACACTAGAAAGGATATTGATTCAGTTTTGTAAGCATACAACTCGAAACCCTATGCGATCAGCACATGCGCGTACTTCTAATGCCTAGACAGATGCATTATTCCGATGAGATCACAGCATCACAGATACCACATTTGTAAACAAATAGTTTTTTTCGAGTAAAATACGGTACTCCACATCGACTGCACCTCTTAGAGCCCTCACCCACAGCGACACAAGGTTTACTTGGGGAGAAAAGGAAGAAGAAGCCTTCCAAAAGCTCAAAGATAGTATCACCAGCGAAGATACAATTGCATACTTCGATCCAACAAGACCAACCATAGTCCGAACAGAAGCCAGTTTCCACGAGGGACTCTCGGCAGRACTGTTCCAACAAACACAAAAAGGTCTGCAACCTGTTCATTTTTTATCAGCCGAACCATGACCAATACAGAGAAACGCTACAGTCAGACAGAAAAAGACGCTTTAGCCATCGCATGGGCTAAAGAGAGATTTAGGATGTATCTTCTAGGATCACCTAGATTCAAGATAATAACAGGTCACAAACCACTCATACCTAAATCAACAGATAAAATAAATAATAAATAAACAGCGAAAATTCCACCAAGGATAGAGAAATGTATAATGAACATGCAAGACGTGTTCAAGACGTGGATTTTGAACTCGTTTACCAACCTGGCAAGGATGAACAAGATCCATTAGACTTCTTATCAAGGCATCCACTACCAASCAATGAAGAAGAAGAAACTGAAGCAATCATCAAGCAGGTCACAGAAGCAAGTCACGCCATCGTACTGGACAAGATACGAGAAGAAACAGYAAAAGACGAGCAACTCCAGAAGCTGAGTGAACGAATGATTAAAGGAGATTGGGCTCGACATYRCAAAGATCCAGACATAACACCGTACTTCCATATCAGGCAAGAATTATATGAAGTTGACGGAATAATTCTAAGAGACAATAAGATCGTCGTACCARCCACGTTGCAAAGAAAGGTKGTGAAGACAGCTCACAGACTTGGTCATTTAGGAATAACAAAAACAAAACAGATGCTTAGAGAGAAGTACTGGTTTCCGACCATGAATAATCTAGTAGAACAGATAATCGGACAATGTTTTGAGTGTCAGRTGACGGTGAAAAGCCATCGAGAAGAACCAATCAAGTCACSAACAATCCCAAGAGAACCRTGGGAGACCATAGCTATCGACTTTGGAGGACCATATCCCGACGGACACTATYAACTAGTAGTAAGGGATAAGAGAACGAGGTATGTTGAGGTAGAACKCCTAAGCACCACATCAAGCAAACCTGTGATCAACAAACTAAAGAAGATCTTTACAACACATGGTACACCCSGCAGAGTCGAAAGTGACAACGGCCCACCCTTCAATTCAAAGGACTTCGCAGTCTTTGCAGAAAAAGAAGGATTTCATCACCACAAAGTCACACCCTGTCGCGCAAGAGCCAACGGAGAGGCAGAAAGCTTCATGAAAACGCTCAGCAAAACTGAACAGATCGCTAACCTACAATAAAAGGACAACCACAGCCATACAGGATATTCTTATTGGATACCGTTCCACACCTCACCCCGCCACAGGAGTAACTCCATACGAAGCATTGATGAATCGAAAAGTACGGACGAAACTTGACCATTACCCAACGATAGAGCCTCAGCCAAAGCAACGCGAGGAACAAATCAACGAACGAGACAAAGAGTACAAGGAAAAGATAAAGAAATACCGAGAAAATAAGAACACTAAAGAACATAACTACATCATCGGAGACTATGTCTTAGTGAAACAGACAAAGAAAAACAAGTGGACGACAGCATACGAACCAGCATTCCATATCATCTACAGAATAGAAGGATCTACTATTTCAGCCAGAAGAATCAAGGACGGAAAAGAGATACGAGAGCCACTTTAAGCAAGTCAATGAAGTTATCTCAAGTTCTGAAGACTCAATGGAAGCAGTGAAAGATGAAGACTGGAGAGAGAAAATACTTGGAGAACCAGAGGAAGAAGCAGACGATACTCTCAAGCCAATTGTCAAGCAGCATCAGGAGTAACTGAAAATGTTAACGCAAACCAAGATCAAGTGCAGAAACCACCGCAAGTCCATTCACCAGCCAAGCAAGCTGAAGCAAGACCACAGAGGAACAGAAGAAGACCAACCTATCTAAAAGACTATGTGTAAACTACTGTCCTCATGTGATGGAACATTGTTGAGTTATTATTATTATGAGAATTGTGATACATATTGATTATAGAGATATAAGTATTCTTATGTATACCAGGAAAAGACATTTAATGATTTCAAGAACTAATAGATATGAACATTGATTCTTTTTTAAAACAAGGGAGAAATGTAATATCCCGGATGATTACGTAGTTATCTATGTGCAATCATGCATGTAATTTCACTACATGTGCTTTTCGATATGTATTAAACCATTGACTGTGTGAACCGACTCTAGTGTCAACTTATACTTTAAATAACGGATTCAACATATGTCAAAGAATCAACAGTATATAAAACTGTAGCCTGCATGGTGGCTCTAGGGGAGGGAGAAAGAGGGAAAACGGAAGGCTAGGTTCTATATAATTGCACCGCTCAACGGTCGTTTTTCGAAAATAATCATTTTTGCTAATTTTTAACTTAAGTGTGGTAAAAACATTACACATGGTTTGCCGCAGTTTGTCCCTCGCTATGCTCGGGGTCTCCTTGAGTTTTATGAACATTTTATGACAATATAAGACATTAATAAGAGGACATACAACGAAAAACCGCGTGCTAACAATTCTCGTAGGCGAGTTTTCATTGGCAACTATGACGTGTGCTTGATGGGTGTAGCGTCCATACAGCAAACACCTCTATTCTCATGGACGAGTGTTCTTTAGCAATTCTCATGCGTGTTTGATGTTTCTAGCATCCATACAGCTCTATCCTCATAGAGGGATGTTTATTGAAGCCCTTGACAATAACTCTGATGTGTTGTGCTGTTATTGGTGGCGACAGTTCGTTGGTTACTACAGAGTTTACATCGGTGTTGCCTTGGAATACCTATCGAGCGAAGATAATAACCTTTAGCTATGTGTATTTGCTGTGCCGCTGAATTTCCTGTCAGTTGGAAATTGTGGATGGCAGATTAAGGAAGATATAGAAATGAAAGAAAGTTATAAGTGCTTAGAAGGAGGCAATTCCGGGAGAAGTCCCTTAGAAATAAATTCGGAAAAATTAATTTCCGACCTCGCTGGGATTCGAACCCACGACCTTCGGATTTGTACACCGATGCTCTACCAGCTGAGCTACATACAAGGCCAGACTGGGAGCAGGTCGGGGTGAAATAGATGTTAAGGTTGAGGTCGGAAATTAATTTTTCCGAATTTATTTCTAAGGGACTTCTTCTGGAATTGCCTCCTTCTAAGCACTATAACTTTCTTTCATTTCTATATGGTGTTTATCATAGTGCCATGCGGTCTTCATATTCATATCTTTAGATTAATGAAGACTTTTGGGATAAATACTGAGTAAGATGGATTGAGCCGGGATCATTTTAGGAAATAATACGAGTGAAGACTAAGACTTCTTATTCTTGGTGTGCAACCACATGACAAGGAATCCCCTGAGAAATAAAGAACAAAGCTATCGGCGCCATGATGGATGAATGAACAAGAGAAACTAATGAGGAATGCTTTGTGATTTTAATCCAACATGGCGGTGATGACGTAACTTGCACACCAAGAATGAGCCATTCGAAACAACTGAACAACCTTGTGCAGCAATTTAAGAAGAAACGTAAAAAAAACGTGTTTCGAAGTAACTTATAATAGATTTAAATAAGTCAATATCTTTACTAGTACTTTCATCGGAGCGGCACGTTATAGGGGATTGTCATACCTCAAATTCGCACTTAAAACTAGTGTATTGAAACCACAAACCTCGTTGCAAAATCTGGCAAATCCTAAAATTCTAATTAAAAAACAGGTTCTTATTTGGAAAAAAAGGAAAAAATAATCTTCTCAAAATATAGAAAAAAATATTCTCGCAAAATATATTTATAAAACAGTCTGTACACACTGATTCAGTAGTTACAGCATTTGATTTTAACAGTAGTGTAGTATTTTGCTTACCGAAGCCTCCAAAAATACTGTTATCAGACAAAACTACCACATCATTTAAAAATTCTTTACTTTTCTTTGTGAACAAAAGTTAAGAACCTAGTTAAGAACCTAGTTAGCCTAATTTTACACTAAATATATACCATTTATATAAGAACCTGTTAAGGCTAACTTGAAAAAACCTACGTTCTTATACGCGGGTTTGACGTTTTTTTCCTGTGAACTTCTATTCAAGATCAAACATCAAGTCAAGAAAATATTTTTGATAGTATGAGCAAATGACTTATTGTAAAACCTTATATTTTTCTGATCTTGAGTACCTTGAATTTGAGCCGTTTGCAATTGTCAAAAGTCTGACTCTATTAATATTTTCTTTCGTGCACCAATCTCGTACCCAGAGCCCACACTTTTGCCATCAAGCGGATGTCAATGCGTGAGAGACTCTGGAGGAATCAAGTTTTTCTCGATTTCTGATTGGTTGAAAATGATGCGAGCGCGCATTGTTTTTAAGTCGGTTTTTCAAGTTTCCACACAGGTAGCCCAAGCACTGGACTTGGCAGTGAAAAACGAAAAGTTCGATAAAAGTGGTAAAACTGAATAAAATTATTTCAAACTACAACATAGTGTTCTAGTGTTCATCACCCCTGTGAAGTTTCAACTCATTATAGTAAACTTTCCCCTACGTAAACTTTCCCCTACTAAGTCAGATAAGTAATTTCTAAGATACTCAAAGCTATAACAAATACAATCGTAATATCATTCAAAAACAGTTATGGTTGTACTGGCGCCCTTGTTTCAACTATTTTATTGAGTTTGTTTACATTTCTTAGTCTATTCTAATTTACCCGGACCTCGGTTTGATGCGCGCTGCGCACAGATTTGTGGGAAGTATCTGGGGAGGTCAAAAATAGAGCTCCCTCTATTAACTATGACACAACTAAACAAAATGATTATAGAATTAAACCTTTAAGAATTGAATGCTCATATCAAACATTTTCCACCTTAATACACACGCGTGTTTTTCAGAAGGGAATTTAGTCGAACTTTTTTCACGATGGAATTTTGTTTTGAGTCGTTTCAACATAAACAGTCGCTATCAAGACATTACGTGAAAAAACCCAGTCACAGTACTAGCTCTCGTTGTAAGGTTAAAGCTAGTAAATGTGTAACCGGCCTGTTACATAACGTCAACCTGTTGTATCGTCGAGCACGCTTGCGGCTTATTGCCGAAAATGCGACAAAGGATGAACTACGACTGTTGTCACTACCAAAAATAACAAACGCTTTAACTCTATTGGAATACGTGGAGCTAAGCCGCTCTAGCTCTTTCAGTGATGTTGTAGATACCTCAAAGCTTAGAGGAAACAACAGCTAAGAAAAAGGATTTGCAATGGTTCCTCCTATGATACTTTGGACTTGAACTTCGCTTCAACGACCTTCTGAAGTCTTCGTGAAGTCGTCCATTGCTTCGCATGCAATGGAGAACCCGCGTAGAACACAGACCAATTATTTTTATCAGGGAGGGGAGGCTCTTGGTATTAAAGAAAACATAATTTATTATTAATTTTTAAGATAAAATTCTATTTCTATAACGATAAATATTTGATTGACATTTAATAAAAGCTTTTTTATAAAGATTTTCAATTTCTCTTTGCGTTTTAGCTTTGACTTTTCGGATAGAATAAAATGGCAGGCAGCCTACTCCACTGGGTCGAGTTTTGCTGTGCAAATTCCTCCCGTCGGGGGGTTATGTTTACAACATAAGCTTGTCAGCTTTGCGCTGATTGGCTAGTCGCATTTTCTCAAATCACCCAGATATGCTATTAACAAAGAATTTTGTTGCTTCTTGCAAAAAAAAAACAATCTTCGTTGCAACAGCATTCGCCTTTTCCATAGTAAATACACCAAAAAAAACAACAACAAAAACAAAAAAAAACAAAAAAAACTCACATTAAACTGTGGACAAAGATTCACTAGCACCCAGTCTCTTCGCGTTAAATATGAAAAATGATGTTGCGCACGAACGATGCGCGATAGTAGCGATACTCATTGTAGGATTTCCTCAATCCAACATCAATTTCCACTTCGCTTAAATTCAACGGCTAAATCTTTTGCAATTCTTTTATGTGGTAAGTGACTTTCTGTATGACGAAAGCTTGTAGGCATTCTGTATACGCATGCGCACGAAAAAAAAGTCGAATAAAAAGTGAATCACTTGGGTTTTATTCCTATATCTCTATACAAGAACCTACTTTTTAATACATTGAAACGATGCTTTACGAACTTGAATTGAATGTTACCTTTATTGGGTTGCCATAGTTCTCCCATGTAGAGCCATCAGTGCTGTGTGAAATGCTATACTGTTTAACGAATTGTATGCGTAATGACGGGTTTGTTGGAGTATATCGACCTTGTGTTGCTATTTTTGTTACTGTCTTAGTGGAACCCAGGTTTACTTGTAAAAACTCGCCAACTTTCGCAGGAACTTTGGAACACCAAGATACGTCGATTTGTAAACTGTCCGTGGGCTGCCTGTGGAGTCTACCGAAGTGAGGTAAACACTTAACACTGTTATATGTGGAGGCGTTGATGTGACTATCTGGGATGCTCCCATCCTCCATACCAAGCGGTTTAGAAAATTGCTCTAAAAACAAATACTACTGTTTTTGAAAAAAATCATAGAAACATAGAACGCGCTTTGTGATTTGCTGAAGCGCAAAAAACTGCCCGGCAATAAACGGTTAAAGTGCAAGTGACACCTTTTAGAAAATCACTATTATCTGAAAGGTAACTCGCTGCCAAGCACTTCTGCGAAGAAAGAATAATCGAGAAATAGAGTTTGAATAATTTTATTTTCTGAGTTAATTGAAAATGCAAATGAAGTGACGTCAAAGTCCAAATTGTGTTATGTTGTTCATGGCTGAACGGCTCAAATCATCAATGATTTATAATCGAAAGCTGAAAATGCTTTTTCCTATGTAAAAAAAAGAATAACGTCCTCTTTCATGATTTTGTATAATAAATCATTCCTTAGTAGACGTCGCTTCATTTTGGATGAGAGAATGAATGTCTAATGGTTTCATGTGCAGCTTAAGTTAACAGACTAAACTCACGTGAGTCCTCTGGTTTTGGACACGCACTGTTACTGGTTTCCCAGCTCGGTTCATGCCCACAGTCCAGTGCTTGTCCTCCTGAGGTAGATTGGCAAGCACGAGTACGTAATGCATGCAAAGGACAAGTGCAGAATGACCAAGGCCCCCACTGACCCCAGACACCATCTGAATATAATAGAGAACTTCACCAATCATGGAAGCCATAAAAACGAATCAGAGATTTCAGTTTGCAAGTGTAGAATTGTTAAATCCCGAAAAGTCATTTGCAGATAATCCTACCTATCGCATAATTACGTCACACCAAAACATTCTATTGTTTTAACGCTAAGGATTATGGTCGCCAGAGGGGATCAGAGTGACTGCATATCAGATATATTTTAGATGAGCAATCATTTATACATGATATACATCAAAACTCGTTATATTGAAGTTTTTCTTTCGAAAAGAATATATATTAGTAGGTCCAAAATTACACTGTTTCTTAGCGTCTATCCCTAATGTAAACGTGACGTCATTATGCCATAAGTCAATTGTAATCCATGACTTAGTTTGTGTCCTTGGATAATTCCTTTTGAAATTGTAAGAAGTCCCTTATGTTACAGTCATTAACCCCATTCATATCAACTGGTTAAGTTCAAGGCAAATTCCTACATTATTAGCCTCCTTATAAGTTCCTCCCAAGAGGAACGAACGACTGAAGATTACCCCTGGGTTCCCGTGTCCGACTCGGTGCGCGACCGCTAGCACTTATTGGTATACAAACTGAAACTTTAGTATTTGGCTTGCGTAAATGTGTTCAGAGCACAGAAGGACTAGAACAAATTGCACCTGCAAATGGAGTCAATCTCTATTGTCTGCCTCTAAACGTTCAAGTGTAAAGGTCTAGATGGATAAGCCATGGCATCTACCAGCAACTTATGAGATTATGAGTTAATTAAGTGACTTTTAAAATCATCGTGTTATAAAAACTGAGGGCTTACCTCTACAGGTGTGGCTATTCCAAGCAAAGTCAGGATAGCAGAGCGGTTTAGCAAGGGGACACGGTTTAGATGAACACCGATTCTGTAATACAAGACAACAAAGTAATCATCTCAAGAGCACGTATCCTGACGACATTCTTATGCTTACCATCGTCATCATTACCTTGATAGGGCAGTATTCGTGGCCCTTCATGTCTTTAAGAGCATCAGGGAATGTCCAATGATCAGATGAACTCAGCTCGCATGTTCTGATATGACCATCATTTACTGGTCCCAAGTTGTACGAGACACATAGTCCTTCACGAAAACACAAGGATTGGCATTGATCTATCCCAGGAGCCATTACTCTGCTGCTTGTGATTACGTGGGCAGTGAAAGTTTTGTTTTTAATGCACTGTAAGTATTCGAGTTCCCTACAGGCGCCCGCACCTGTGCCAATATAAGTTAAAAGGTTTGAGTAAAAACAGTAGATTAAAAAAAACAGTGTTCGTGACCTTGAGATTTGCATTTTCGGTTTTTTTTCTTCATTAGTCAGACGTTTCCATTTTTYGGATCTCTTAGGGGTAAAAATTCGTGATTGGGCCTCTTTTAGAGTGCCTATTTGGAGTTTCTGGGTATTTGCATTTTCTGCAATCTCTTAGGGTGTCGGAAAAAAAGAGAAAGTGTGCATCGATCGATATTGATTTTCCTCTGCGTTTTTCTCATTGGAACTGATTTATTAATTTAATACTATTTCTGAAATCCCTTAGGGGTTAAAAATCATCGTCAGCCATGCCTTTTTTCGGGGTCTTTTTGGAAATATCTGACGAGCATCCMCGGTACTTATGAATGCCCAATAGCGAGAGAACACTAAACTTTCAAAAGCCGTAAAATCATCTCGAAATCTATATGGAACAGCAAGTGACTTATTCATGAAAATATGGACATGGCGTATATGGCAATGCTGTAAGTCATGTAGCATGCATAGAATATATCATTGTTGATTAGACTCAAAAGTTTTAAATTGAAGTGATGCAACAGACCAGTGGCATATTGATAAAGCTTAAACATAAACGTCCAGGGGCTTCTAGATTGCTACTAATAATAATTGTCCATTATTTATGAGTTCCCTGCATGGCGTCTTAGAGCTATCGGAGCTTTCACTGCAATGTGAAATGGTAAAATAAATTCAATCATCTATGCTCTCCATTCTTTCGTTTTAATTCCTCAAATTACAAGAAACTAGAACGTTTCTCGGATGTCGACTRCAAATTATATTCAAGTCAAGAAATTGAACGAACTTTATGCGGGATCTGGAGCCGATGTCAAATAATATAAAATCAACTGCATGCAAATTCGGATTTTCAATAAATTTACTTAAGAAGAGATACAACTTCAGAGAGGATGTAGGATTTTTTTAAAACGTCCCATAAATTTCAGCAGTTCGGTTTTATCATATGAGTGCTAATTGTTGTTGTTCAAATGCAAATTATAAAACTTGTCTCTCTTAAATTAAAAGATTAAAATTGCAAAAAAAAAAAAAAAAAAAAAAAAAAAAAAACAATTTAAACAAGTCAAGATAAAAACAAAAAACAAAAATAAAATAAAAAAAAACTTGAAAAAGCAACACTTTTATTTCGCTTGTGCCATATATAAGTTATCATAACACCCGAAAACTCCGTACATCATGCATGTTATAATTCTACTTATTTCTGTTGTTATTGTATTAAAACTATACGAAAGATAATGACAAAATTTTTTTAGAGGACCAGACTTTTGATATTGATGACTTCAAATAGTCAGCGCCGCAAAATATTACATTCGGATTGATACTAGACCTTTGGTGAGAAGTTTGTACCATCATATGGCTATAAAATATATTTTAAAATTAATTTTTTTTATCAGAAAATTTTCAATAATGGAAAAACTTTATTATATCACTTCTATTATTGCTGTTATTATTGTAAATAGGTTTATGAGAAATAAAATTATAATTTTTTAAATATAGCTAGATTATATTAGAGATCCTTGATAAAAAGCTCTTCGTTTGAATTGCTTTAATTTTTCAAAAAGAAAATATTTGTACTTTCTAAGGAGTTTGCTCCGTGGAAATCTTGGCCCTCTAAGTAATGAACGTCTGAATKTTAGCGTCATGAGCATTTTATTTTTTATTTTTACATTATTATTTTTGTTGCGTTGATCAAATACTAAACCAGATTGAGTTCGTTTTGCGTCGTTTTTTCTCGAACAACTTACCGTTGCTGCATGTTACTGAAKTCAGCAAAAATACTAAAAGCTCAAGAACAGCAAACAAAGACGTCCTTGTTTTCTTTTTCTTCATATTTTGTGTCTACAACAGTCCAAGTTTCCTGTTTTCGACTTACTTTAATTAGAAGTGTTTTGTGAATCCATCAAAAACGTCATTAATTGCAACAACAGGTGGTCTGGACCTTTAATGTTTTATTTTATGCAGAAAACAAATCTTAGTAAAAAAAAACAAAAACAAACGGTGAATCCTAATCGCAATGCAACCATTAATTATTAATATGGAAGATCCATCATGTAAGGATGTTAATACTGGAAGATCCAATGCACCGAGTCGATCACACAAAATACATACCAAGTATAGTGGTTATAATTTATGCTCGATTCTTTTAGTGGTTTTGACAGAAAAAGAGCAAAAAATAATCAGAGATTTTGCTGTAGGACTATACGCTATAATATGACTGCTATATAGAGCTCTATCTTCATCACAGAATAGAGCCCATGATAGATATTTCTCATTAACAATTCTGGGGTATGTTTGATCGATCTGTTCGATTAGATCGTACAGCACTTTTCTCATGGAAGCGTATTTGATTTCATAGAAGAGTGTTTATTGACAATTTTGAGGTGTGTTTTTTCATAGGATTTACTAGCATCCGTACACAGCACATTTCTCACAGAAGAGTAATTGATGATAGCATCCATACGGCTGTATTTCATGTAGAATGTAAGAAATTTTGCATGAGCGCTCGGAGAAAGAGATTTTCAACACGAGAAGATAAAATTCGTATCTCTGCGCGCCCATGTAATATTCTATTTATCATATAATTTTATATTAAAGCAAATTACATTTTAAAATAACTATTAATTACCTTCAAATATATAGATACCACGAATGTGTTATTTTCACTAGTGAAAATAACAACTTTACGTAATGGAGAAATACATTTTTTCATAAATAATTGATAAGGGTGTTTATCATGACAATTCTGAGGTGTGGTTAATGCGGACTAGCATTCATAAAGATATATGTAATATATAAAATATGAGCGGGAGACCTTTATGTGTTGTTTGTAGAACGAGAGTGCGTGTGTTATCGGAATATATAGATTCGTGTCGCAGGCAAGAATCTATATACCCGATAAAACACGCACTCGAGTGCGACTTCTAGAACTCCAACATTCAGAAATTATTATCATTTTAGAAAAAAGCTAAAAAATACGAAAACAGTGATAATGCATATTGAACTTCTAATGAGCATGTGCATTGTGCCACAWTTGAAAGAATTTTGATCCCACACGAAAGAACCACGGCTAGTCTAGCTATAGTGCATGTCGGCACATTGATTCAAACTGATTTAAAACATAGCAAAGGTCTATGATGCGACATTAAAACTGAGACCTTTGCTAGTGTTGGGTTGCGATAAAGCGCTGATGAATTTGATCAGTTCTTTATATCTGATATAGAACTGATTAATAAAACATCAGTACTTTATCGGATATAAAGGCCCAATAGTTCGATGCTCATTGGACTAATAGCTCATTAATTATTAATGAGTTCTAGAATGACAATTCTGAGGTGTGTTTTGATGGTTGCAGGATCGATACAGCACTCTTCTCATAAACAGGGGCAGATCTAGAAATTTTCCAGAGGGAGGGATATTCTGAAAACACTAACAATATTTTTCAGAACGTGAACTTTTCAGTTTCGAGATCCCAATATTGTGAAGTGTGTGTGTCAAAAATAAATACGCAAAAAAAACTTATGACGGTTTTATTTTGAATTTTTTCATTATAATCCTTGAAGAAATTAGAAAAAGTATTTTTTTACATCACAATAAGGAATCTAGAGCATAAGACTATAAGTGAGAAAAAAAGGGGGACTTCCCCCTTTYCCCCTCCCCTCAATCCCCCCTGATAAGAGTGCTGATTGACGAGGTGTGTTTTATACGGACTGGCATCCATACAGTTATATCAATAGAAGAGTGTTCATGCATTGACAATTCCGATGTGTGTTTGATGATTTTAGCATCGATACATATTTTTTTCTTGTAGTTTGCTTGTTCTTATTCATAGTAAATTTTCATCATTCATGCCTGCAGCTGATGTTTCCTAGCATCCATACAGCTCTATCCTCATAGAGGGATGTTGATGGAAGGCCTTGACAATAACTCTGATGTGTTGTGCTGTTATCGGTGKCGACAGTTCGTTGGTTACKACAGTCTTAACATCGGTGTTGCCTTGGAATATCTATCGAGATATTAACCTTTAGCTATTATGTATGGGTCACGCCGTTAAATTTCGTGGCGAGGAGGAAATATGGTAGATTGAGAAGTTA